CTGTGAAACCCTTGGATATATGCATTACATACGATGAAAAATCAAATGTGGTTGCCTGTTCCACACAGGGCTTGATAATGCAAACTATATGCTCAGCAAGATGAAGACACATTTCAACAGTCAGAAAAACAAAAACTGACACTGCAGTACGGCCTTAGAGGAAACAAGTATTCTGCTCTACGGGACATATGCTCAACACACAGGCATTTCATTCCATTTGGGTGCAAGATGCCCTTAAGTGTATCAGACAAATATTGTGAGAAAGGTCAAATGTTCTGCTGGAAAAATGCGTATTTTCGACACATGCTAAAAAGTCCATCTCTTATTGTAGTTGCCCAGCTGTAACAATTTGAAACACAGTTTATATGAAAAGCATTTTTATCAGGCTTAAGTGATAGTCACCAAATTTCTAGGTTTGAGGGTTTTGCATAGGATCACTGCCGACAGAAAGTGAGGGGTCTGACTCACATGCAGGTAAAATGAATGGATGAACAGCATTAGGGCAATCCCAGGCATCTCTGTTTTACTTTAGAGTCCATTCAAATGAAGGATATTCTACTGTTATTGCAGAATTTCTGTGTCTGAACAAGAATTAACTGAAGACACTCTTATGTAGTGGAGAGAGGCAAATGTCATGATTCACAGGAGTAGAGCTTATCTAAAATGTAAAAGCTAGCTCTCAGTCTCTTGAACTCAGAAGAATTTTTGCTTCCACTTTTAATAAATGACACTTTGAACAAATGCTACAGGTTTTAATAAAGTTAGCATTGCATTCAAGGCAAAGAAGCTTGCTTCGCCTGAGCTGTGTAACACATGCCAAAGACTGACTCACTAATCCTTGCCTAAAGCACAGAAGAATTTGGGACAGACAGTAGGCACGGACGCAAGCAGCTGCAGAAGTTGCATTGTTAAGTTGCTAGGGATCATAACATCTTTATTAGCAGTCAGGATTCTTTTCTTTCACTAAGCTTGACAACACAAGGTGCAGAACACTGTTCTGGTTCTGTGCTCCCCTTGCCCGAGAGCAATCAGCAACGCACACAGAAATGCAGAACTCAAGAGAATGTTGAATAGAAAAGAGCATTCAAAGTCAAATACAAGAGGTTGCCAGGGAAGCATGCTAGATTTACAGAACTGGCACACCAGCAAAAACCACTAATGCTGTTGGTCATAAAAAGATAAAAGCCCAAGCTACCCGTATCATCAGAGTTGACTCAGCACAGCTGAGTACCCTTTTGATGTCTCCATGTGACAATACCTTTTAAAACACCTGAAAAGTTCAGGGCTGCACAAGTCTTTAAAGAAGTTATCATGCAGCACACCGATAAGCACTCAGCTCTCTAACAGTGCACGCTGCACTGGCACTGATAGTTCCTTGCTGTGCTTTGTGACACAAAATATGCATTTTAGACACTGCAGTTGGTTACTGAGACAAACGTACAAACACACCCAAGTGAAATATCTCTAGCAAGATTCTCAGAGCTAGGTCCATAATAGTAAGAGCTATTTCTCAGCAAACAGGACTGATGCCAGAAATAAAATAAAGTGTAATTTCTGACCCTCAAAGAGTGTTTGGTTTTCTAGCCTCCAGTGCTGAGGAAAGACCTGGAGAGTGTCTTCCTAAATGCTACTTGTGGCTAAACAAAGCTGCAAAGGATGTAGCAAGCAGCAACTACACTACTGCCTGGAAACATATACTTGCTAAGACTACAAAGCAGCTTCCAGGGAATTGCAGGGCCACAGTGTAGGAGATAAAAACATCTTGAGGAGAACAGGTCTGTTTCATCTCTCTAAAAAAGAAAATGATTGAGACCTGCTCACTCCATTCATTAGCACGCCTTCTGCCTGCCTCCCTTCTCTTTTGTAAACACACATCACCTTTCAATGAAAGCTTGTTCCACAGCCCAAACCTTCTCCAGAACAATCCTACAAAGCTAGAATTAATTTGACAGTTCAGTTTCTTGCACTATGTGCTTCCACATGGATACTCAGTGTCTCAGTCAAGGGAAATTCAATAGCACAGACAACTACTGCTCCAGTGCCTGCCAAAGAACAGAAAGAGCCTTTGCATACCCTCCACACATCTTGGCTTCCAATCAATGAAAACATAAAATGTACACCCAGTATAGTTTTCTTCTCCTGTAAAGATGAGGGAATCAGCAGACAGCAAAAAGCAATCCTTGCTCCTGAGCACCTAGTTTCTTGTCTTATTTCTTATTGAAAGCAGTAACATCCCCAAGTAAAGATTAGAAATACTGAAGATTTCCCACAGTCACCACTACAGCCTTTCTCCTCTGCACATACCAAATTTTCCAGCGTTGTTTGGAACTTGCTAGTTTAAACCCTCCTAACACAATCAGCCTAACAAATGAAACAACCAGCACTGAAGATTTTTTCCTCTGGGATGGTAAAAGAGAGCTGGTTCCCTCGCAAACCATATCATGCTCTATATAAAGAGGAATAAAACTGGAACAACTCTGGTGACTAGGCTGGAGCTGTTCCAACAACACGCTAATCAAAATGAGCTCACAAGTTAACTCAATATATACAAATAGTGGCAGCTGCTGGTTTCTATAGTGAAACATAGTAAATAGTTATCATCAGACATATAAGCAAAACCAACACCTATGTGTACTTAAATGACAAGTTTCCATAAAAATTACAGGTTAGTCATCCTGATTAATTCTACTGAACTAAGTGAATGAAATCAGAGCAGCAAAATCAACAAAATGATGCAATCTCAACATCAATCACAGAAGTGACAGATGCCTATTTGGTTTCAACAATAGAAGAAATAATTAAAATATCCTCAGTAAGTACTAAATAATATGATTTTCTATTGACAGTGTAATAAAACCAATTACCCAAAATCTTATTAAAGTCACCAGCAACTCATTTTCTTTTCATTATGGTGTTTTAAGCAGGATCTCTCTTTCTTACATAAAATTGAAGTAAGACAGCGTAATCCATCAGTAATTTCCTCAAGATGGCCTTGTATTTGCCATGAATTAAACACTCTCAAATATTTTATTTTTTCAAAGTGGTAAAGACTCACTACATCCCAATCATATTTCCCAGATGGTGTCATGAACCTCTTAACACTTCATTTCCATCATGTTCCATGCCTTGAGAAATCTGTTTTCAATCTTTCAAACACAAACAAGGCCTCCACCCTCCGTTCCATGATGCTAGACTCAGCAGTCCCCAGCCAACATATTCTTCATGTGCTTTTCAGAGTGAATAAATTCATCTCCTCCCTCATCAATCACACAGAAACCATCAATGACACATTCATGTTCAAACTTCCTCATAAATACATTATTTATGTCATCCATGAATAAATAGTGGTGTGCATTCATCAGAAATAAATAGCTGCATGTCAGTCCAAGAAAAGCATCTGCAAAGCTGACTTGATGCTACTCTTGCTCTTAATGTGTTGGAGTTGTGACCTAGAGGTACTGTTGCTTTTATATTTCATCTAGGGACCTGCTAATTCTCTGCTCTGCTCACTCACAACAAAGAGCTCTAGAGGCATCTAAATTCAGTTTGGAGGATTTGGCTAAGTGTCTGCATGTGGAAAAATACAGAATGCATTCATCTGTGTTAAAGCTCTAGAAATTTGAAACTCTGTCTTTCTGCCTCTGCTGCCTTGCATCCAGCCCTTTTGTTTAGGATGATGCTCTTACAGAGGAAAGGGTCTTCAGACCTCCAAACGTCTAACAAATGATGTATTGACATCAACTGAGGAAAGGCCCATGGAAGATCTGTTCACCACAGCCCTATCTACAAATCATAAGACACATTCAGCAGCTCACACTAAGCTCCAGAAGTTGCCATAGTTATGATGTGCGACATTTGAACGTGAAATTCAAAATTGTATCTTTCTTGTATGTTAGTGCCAGAACTTAGAATCTCCATGTTTCCACCAGCATTTCAGTGTTTGTCCCGGTGTGTCTGTGTAATGAAATTGATAAATAATCAGTGGAGCTGGCTGGACTGAAAACTTTTTCTCCCAGCTGACTTTGCTGACTATGGGGCAGGAAAAACAGGTCTTTTCCTCCTTGTTCCTCTTTCTCACACTCATAGCTGTACAACAGCTGGGTTTCGACAAGTTCTTTTTCAACACCTCTATCTGTCAGCCTAGTGATTCTGAGAAGCGAGAGTTGTATGCCTGAAAAACCTCAACCAGAGACAGGAAACAAAATTGCTCCCCACTTGCCCTTTGGTAGATTATTTAGGAGGACTAGCACCATGATGAACTCTGTTCAGTGTTTTCAGAAATATCACCGGGTCACAGACTTGCTGCCTTGGGTGTGGTAAGTCACTGCCTCAAACTACTGTGTTACTCACCTGCGTGCAGGAGATCTCAATCAAAGAAGTGCCAGGTGTGCACAGCTATCTCTAAAGCTGAGCCTTTTATGCACTTGAAACTTAAACATGGGGACTGATGCACTTACTGCCACTCCCCTGCTTGCTACTGTTTGATGTTTCAAATTTGTAGCCTACAAATACTGCATAAAATCATCCCCCATCTCAGAGGGAAATTATTTCACTACAGATCAATAACTTTCTTTTGACGTCTCGGTAATAAGTTTTGCATGAATAAATAACACTGTCCTCAGTTCTGAGCAGTGTCACAAAGAAGGAAAGGAGCCAAAATGCAGCTTTGCAAATCCAAACTCACTATGTGTCACAGAGGAAGTCTTCTGAAAAAGCAGCTGTGTAACTTCATGACTGAATAACCAAAGGCAGCACTCTAACGCAAACATACCAGGATGGGAAATACAACCATCCATCTGCAATTCTGTGATTTTTTACTTTTCCTTTTGCAACCTTAGCAGGGATGTGTTAACTTAGTCTTTATGTACATTACACACACAAAATGACTGTCAGTACAAGTGCACGATTTAAGAGCAGATATTAATTTGTAACTGGTATGTATCATTTCTGTGCTACTATTTATTACCTATGTATCTAAAGCAAATAAAATACAAACTCACATCTCTCATCATTTTCACTGCTTCTCTGGTCCTTCCCAGCTTTCTTGCACACATTGCCAGCCTCCTCTTAATATAAACTAACACATTAGTGTCCCTTCCTGCAGAAAAAGAAAAAGAAACATAATTAAGATAAAAAAACTTTTTTTAAAAAAGTTCTTTAATATTCCAACAGAAAGTTTTCTATACAATTTTTGTTATTCACTATCATCAGTGCTTTCCCAATAATTCCAATAAACTCTCAACAAATTCAGCTGACTTAGAGATGATATCACTAAAACCAGAGGAATTACTCTGGATATACAGTGGTACAAATAAGGACCCATATGTTGGCCTTACACCTGTGAAATATAAGCTGATCTGAAGGCATGGAGAGCTCTGTAGGATACAGACCATCAAGTAATGCTCAGGGGAGTGGAACCCCTATGAAGTTAACACTGACACAAAAATCTGCAGTTATACAGACAACATCCAATTAATTTCCAGTTCACATATTTGGTTTAGACAGCAGTATCCATGAAAACTCCAGTATGTCTTTCCTTACAGTTAAGTTGCACACGTGTTAATAGGAGATTCAGTAAACTAATTCCTCAGCTTTATTCTAACAGTTATCTTACTTTTTGGTTATAAATACACCTTGAACCTTCCTTTTGCTGAGCCTTTACTTGTTACCTTGCCACCACCTTCAAGTTCCTCACAGCTATGGATGGCAACTTTGCATCTCTCAGACATAACAATCCTGTGTGCTGAAAGGTGCCCCAACCACGACAGAAACTAAACAGCTGCAGTAATTAATCTCTAGCATTACCCTCACTCTTTCATTGATCCTTGGTTTCTCAATCTCTCTCCACAATCCCAACGTGAACTTTTAACATACTTCTGGACCAACAGAAAATGTGTGGACAGGCAGTCATCTATAAAATTACCATATCAAGGAAATATAAGACACTTGCTACAAATTATCTTCACGTATGCAGTCTGTAAAGATTTCTCTGTTCCTAACATTTTCAAGCCTTTCATAATAAGAACAAGATGTGTGCTGAAAACATTCCAAGTACCTACAAACTGTTTTAAAGCTGTGATTATGATTTTCAGACAGATCCAACAGCAGGCTGAAAGGTCTGACTTTAGAAGAAAAATAAGGGAGGGAAGGAATTTCATTAGCTATAATTTATATTATGTAATTTCTTATCTCTGAATTGTTTCTTCTATATTTAATAAACAATTTATTAGTTACATCTGTTTCAACATGTTTATGTAGTGTAACTAAGAGGTATAAATTTCAGGCCAAGCTCCTTTCCAGACATTTCAGAAAAAATGGTCAAAAGGCATTTATTTACTATGAAATCAAGATAACCTTTCAGTCCATTTTCTGAGGTGACTAATTATTCAGGGTGACTAGTATAGGCCACCTTAAACAAAATTGTCTTCACCTTCTATAACTGGAATCTTTTGGGAGAAATTGATCTGGCTGCCCAAAGTCATTATCCACACTTAAAATTCATGCCTGTCACTGAATGAACAATAGAACACCTTAACATACAGAAAAATTGAGCAATGTATTGTTGTTACAGTGATCTTCTCTCCCACTTTTCATCCCAATGTCAGCCTGAAGGATTAAAAATGGAACAGACTTCAGAACCAAGGAGTAACTGCAAAAGAGGGAGAGGAACTGTGGTCTCCTTACAGACGTGTGTCCATGGTCCTTCTTCCCAAAAGAAACCTGAGGTCTTCATCTTTTAAAACCATGTAAATGCAGCATATAATCAGAAGATTTCTACCTGAAGTCCTTGTGTGTAAGGCACATCCTGTAGATGGAGTTTCTCTAACTCCTGAGGGTGCACGCTGAAATTACCAGAGGAAGGCAGAGAGGAGTGGGACAATCTAGCCCCTCTACCAAGCAACAGTCAGAGCTGGCAGTCAGCCTTCAGCCCTTCTTACTCTATGGCAGCATTCTTAGTTATGAGACTCAGCTGACTGCTTACTCTGCTGTAAATCTGAAGGTTCAGGATGTCAAACTTGATGATGATGCTAGTGATACATATTATAACACACATCAGTTAAGATGATACCACACTTACATTTGCTTGCACAAACTTAACATATTTTGGACATCTTGCTCACCAGCATGAGAATTGTGCCAGTCTTTTTGTGTATTTTTCACAGAATTGCTGTCATTTTTCTGTGCTTATAATGGATTGAGTGCACAAACTAAAGTTTCATGGGCAGCCTGCTAGAACCTGAACACTGCTTCAAGGGCTCAGCTGCTCTTCATTTGTTTTTCTCCAAAAATAAGCAAATAATCATAAATGTATCATCTTAAATATCATTTTATATCCAACAAATGTTTAAAATACCACCTCCAAGATTTATAAAACCTCAGGCTTTCACGTGTAGACTTGTGTGCACTTTTGAAACCGAAGATGACAGACAATTTCACTTTGTACAATTTTTATCTGCAATCTTCGAATTATGTGACACAGCCAGAGGCTATGAATTCAAGTCCTGAGAATGTTACAGATGCCCAAAATATGTCAGTGCTTGTACTTATGTAATTCATTGGTATTATTTTTGCCTGAGGTAGTCACTGTAGACTAGAACTAACCTAGATCTGTTCATTTTATTTATCTTTCTGTTCTTTTACTCGCACTGTAACCTTATGTATTTTCTTAGAATTAAGAAGCATCTAGCAAATATCATTACAGCAGCTAAACCTCCACAATAAAAAATTTAAAAAAAAAGAGCAAAAAACATCAATTGCATCAATTGCAAAAAACATCAAAAAAGCATCAATTGCAGCACTATACTATTCCAGTTGTTAATGTTTCCATGACCTTTCTTAATGTATGCACCTAACTTTTCAAATGTCACACTGGCAAATGGATCTCATTAACTTTCACACAACAGTGTGCTGTACTTATTTATCATTACTGCTGATGGAAAAAGCTGGCAAAGCACCAACTCACCTCTTTCTGCTATTCTTTACTGTCTTTCACATGAGCTTATGTTTTCAAAATGGCTAATGGCATTTTAGTTCAACTTCCTAACATAGTCTCTAGGATCTTCCGAATATCAAATCTCTTTTGGCTATGCAGCATTCCATTTTCTGTTAAGTCAGTGGTTTGCATTTTCTGCCATGACAGAAACGACGTATCTGTATTCTGAGTATCGCCAACTCAGTAACAGAATCAGGCGAAAACAATGAAAAAAATACAGCCTATGGCCATATTGTAGCCAACATGAAATATCGAGTACATCATTCTGAGAGGTAAAAAATTAAGCTACCACTACCAGAATTTCTCCCTTTTTAGAAACAGCTATTTCTTCCACAGAAACTTACTGTGTTGGGCTTCGTACTGGGCACCGTGATGCTGCAATTGCTGACTGCGCCTGTAACAGCCCTCTCCAGCCTTCAGAGCTTGCTTGAACAGCTTCTCTGCTTCCACAATAGTTGTTGCTTCCTCTTCAGCCAAAAGAATATAGGCAGTGGCACATCTGCAGAAATGTCAGAAGAACCATGAGAAAGTTGCAAGAAGTAGAAACTGTACAAAGATATGCAGACAATCAAGCATGCATTGAATATGGAAGCAAAAGATTTTAGTGATACATCTTTCTCATGACCCTTTGTAAATAGTCAGGCAAGTAGATAATGACTTTCATGTTGATACTGTATCATGCAGCAGCCCTAGTAAACCTACTGGAATATGTCCCAGGAAGTAAAACACTGTTTCACTAAGCAATATGGACTAAAATTGGAGATCAAGACTGGTTTAACAGAAACATAAAATGTTTCCATTATTGCAATGATATGAAAAGAAGGGATCTCTGGAGATCATCGAGTCCAATCCCTCTGCTAAAGCAGGTTCCTTGCAGTAGTTTGTACAGAAAAGCATCCAGGTGGGTTTTCAGTATCTCCAGAGGAGACTCCACAACCTCTCTGTGCAGCCTGTGCCTGTGCTCTGTCATCCCTGCAGTAAAAGTTTTTTCTTATGTTCAGATGAAACCTCCTTCCTGTGGTACAGCCTGTACCTGTTGCCCCTTGTTCTGTCAGTACTCGAAATGAGGCCTCAGCAGGACAGAGTACATGGGAAGGATCATCTCCCTCAATCTGCTGGCCATGCTCGTTTTAATACACCCCAGAGTACCACTGGCTCTCTTGGCCACAAGGACACACTGCTGGCCCATGGATCTACAGCACTTTCAAATACCAGATCATGAATGTAATTGTAGAGGTCCCCCCCCCCCCATAAAATGATAACCAGGAAATTTACTTTAGGAATACAGGAAAAGATGAAATGCAGGGGGGAATCACTTCACTCATCTTTCAACAGTCTAATTTAGAACTATCTGTGTTCCTCCTCCTTTAAGGAGCATCTTCACAAAGCCATTCATTTCACCTGTGTAAATCTCTCTCTACAAGCATGATGATACGCTGAGTTGAGAAGCTTCTCTCATTGCTATACAAGGAGCTGAGGTAACTACTTTGGATTTGACAGACACAATTTTAACAGCTGAAGTTAGGTGGGATACAGCATGCTGATCTTTTTTCTGATACAAACAGCTAATACAAGGAGATCCTTGTTTATACAGAAATGGAATCAGGCTGCTCTAGCTGTCTCCTCTAGCTGTGTTTCACACAGTCATCTATTGAGGAAGTGGTAAAAACAAGTCTGGGTGAAAATAGGACTCCATATGTGAGTAGAATGGAATAGGTGAATAGCTCACTGCTTGCTAAAGCCTTTTAAGCTATATGCTCTCTCAGTTAAATTGTGGCCCAGGAACAAACATTTATTTTTTTCCTTCTAACGAAACTAGTGAAGGACAATCTGTAAGGCATCAGTTTATGCAATTCTACAATGCAATACTCTCTGACAGCAACCTAAGGGAGTCTCCCCACTTTATGCACTTTGGCAACATTTGTACAGTATGCCATGCCAGCAAAGCCTCACAGCACTGAGCTTGCTGTGGGATCTGAGAATGCTACGTTTCTCATTGGGAAAATAAATAACAGACTGAAAAAAACAAAAGTCCCAAAATATTACATCATTTTCCCTCACACTATCAAATGAATATTTCAGGAAGTGTTTACGAGTCCCTTCTTCTTGCTTCTGTTCAGGACAACTGAGAAATCCAAAAGGGAACTCTCTGTCTCCATCCTATAAATAAACATATCATGGACTCACCAGGAGGCAACATAATTAACACTTTTCTGTGCTAACACAGGGCCTGATCCAAAGCCCGCTGGCATCAATGTGAGAACACCCTATTGTCACCAGTGCCCAAGGATCTTCTGGGTGGCTAGCACCACATACAGCTGTGCTGCTTTTCCTCCCACTGCTGGACTTCCTGTGGCAGGCCAGTAATCATGGTTAAAAATTACTGTAGTAAAACCCCTGCCCTAAGCTATCATCAAATGGATTTTTAAATGACAGAAAATAAATGTTAATGTTGTTGTCACTCACTCATTCAATTCCAAAGCTTCATGTGCTGCAGAAATTCGGGCTTGGGGGTTTCTCTCTCTCCAGGCTTTTTGCATTACTATTCAATAAACCAAGCAGAAAAGGGGCATATCAGTCATTATAGCATTAACAAGGAAAATCTATTGCATTTCAACAACAAAATTTACTGTTCTCAGCCTGACTCACTGCATAACATTTCAAAGACCTCAGCAATCAGTCAAAAGACATACAACCAAACGCTGAGCCTTATTCTTTCATTTAATCACCTGTTTTCCAAGGGAAAATCTGACAGATTGTGCCATCTGCACTGTTACACGCAGAGTGAGTAAGCAGCTTTCTCTTCTTGGGGAGGTAGATTCCATGGGGCACAAAAGAATACAAGCATAGTTGGGGTTCCTATTCCAGCTCCTTAATGTGCAGTTGCTTTAGGAGTATGTTAAATGAGACAACATTCAGGCTAATTAAGATGACCTCATAACCAGCCCATGGTATTCAGAAAATAGGATTCATGTTTCTCCTGTGTCAAAAAAGCACAGTATGCTCTCCTTTGTAATTACATCCACAGAATATAGTGTCCAACTGTCAGTATTTCTTGTCCTAAGAGACAAAGAAGATTTGTCTCTTCAGATGCAAATTCTGATTATTAAAATATTTGTTGTACATTTTAAGCTGAACTGAAGTATGCATGTGGACTTAACAATAAAGGCTTAATACAACTAAAGCTGCTTATATGAAATTAGTTTCTAAATGTGCTCTCATTTTTTTTTTTACACAGCTTCTAACTACAACAGGGAATAAAGTACAGGACTCGGATTTTACATAAGCTGTCTTCTGTCAGCATAGGCTAAGTGGAGTCTGGATAATGTAATTCAGTTTACTACACTATAGCTGGAGGCAAATGAAGCTATATCTGTTTGGAACTGCTGCAAGAAATGGGAGGAAAACATAAATCCTTATTTACGCTTTTAAATGGTACCTTGAACGACTCCAGAAAGAAAGTAGAACATAAAAGTGACACAAACTTGAGAGCTTATACCTACATAGAGTCTTGCACAAATCTAGCATATTAGTAATAGAACAGCAACAGCTTTCCAGGCATGACCAAACTTTGTCTTCCTCCATCTGCCTGACAGAACTGATGTCTGACTGTACTTTTCTTGCAGCAGTTCGAAGTAATCATTAACCTACTGGTAAAAATGGTTGTTCCCAAAGTCTCTTACTAGCATCAGCAGGCCGTAAATGATCGGTGTCACATGTAAAGAATGTCTGATGGTCCTGTGCTGAAAGATTCATATCGTAGTAAGTCAAAGGTTCTCTTCCTGTTACCCACGTATACCTGCAAGCATGCCAACAAAGAGACATTTTGGTTAATGAAGTCACATTCAGCAAAACGTATAGGAAAGAAGAGTCCTAGCTGTTAGACAGGCATAACCCACTAAGGAGCCAAACTCCTAACCAACACAAACACACTGCATTTCACTGTCCTGTGATGGAGCTACAGTAGCTGAACGTAAGCGAGGATGGTGGGAGGTAATTACTGGCAGTGGCCAACACACCTATTCAAACACTAATATCACACGAAATCTAGACATAATTCATTAGTTTATTTGCTATAGCTGATCTGAACAGAATTACTGCCACGTCTTAATGTGCCACATCATACTGCACTTAGGTTTTCCAGTTTTTCTAACGCACCAAAAATTACAGAACTGACAGCTGCATGTGTATGAATTTAATTTCCTTTTCCTTCAGAAACATTTTACAAATTGTAGGAGAGCCTGGCATGATCAAAAGCATCCACAACAGTTTTTCTGTTGCTGAGTTATATTACTGGAAATGTTCAATTAAGGTCCTTAACCCAAATCCATACCTGTAACATCACAGCACTTACCGATTATATTCAGCTCCTCTGAACAGATTTAAGGGATTTCGCCAGACTTTGCATTCTGTGATAAACAGAAACACACAACAATGTATCTCTCCCAAATTAAAACTTGAGGTTTATCAGAAACATTGGTTACCTTCTAATGAGCCTTAACAATCCCATTTTGTTTTCTATACGCACAAATGGAAAAAATAAAGAGCATGAGATGCAGGCAACCTGACTGGTTGCTCTTTTCTTTTAAAATGATAATTTCATTGCAAGTCAGTGTTAATAAATGACATCATTCCAGACAAATAACATCCAACAAAGCACCAAATGCCAGGTGAAAACAACACCGATTAGTGCTGGGACTCACATTTACCATAAGGCAGATCTGAAAAGGGCTCACACTGGGTTACTGCACTGAAAAACAGCAATTAACTCCATCCCCATGGACTTGTTATTCCTACAGAAGAACTTCACTGCTTAGTTGATACTGTAAATCGCTGAAAACCTCAGCTACAACTGCCAATTTTAATCCTTCCTTAGCTTATCCATGGCAACATCTGCTAACCTTACTTAAATTATAAGCACCCCAGGGTTGACAGAGCAGTCTAAAGTTGATTGGCAGAAAAAAGTCCATTGCAAAGGTTTGGTATTTCACCCATGTCTCTCAGGGGAAAAAAAAAAAAAAAAAATAACTGCAAATTCTTAATGCTACAGGTTAGGAAGGGATAAAAAAAAAAGTCATTTAGAACTCCAAAAAAATCATAAAATTAGCTTCTAAAGCTTTTGAAAAGCTGAGCTCTTAATTACAGCTTCTATTGCTTTAATTAAACACCAGATTTGTTCTCTTGATTTCAATGAGGACAATTCACTTAAGCAAAGCTAAGGCCAGAATGAACTCAGCATTTGCAACAAGGACTCAAGAGGCTCATTGTGAAACCCAGTGCTGCCCTGCCATGTTAGTGGATGACCCCTCATCCATTACTCTGCAAAATCCCATCAGGAGAATTGAACCTGCAGCATTTTGCTGGCTGTCCTCCACCACCAAATGTCAACCAGCACATTTTTCACAAAGAGGTTCCATAACATCATTTCTAAACAAATCACTGCAGCAGTTTTCAGGAAGTATATGGAGTCAGCAGGACATGTACCCTACTTCATACAACACTCATAAGTTATGTCAGGTCCATTAAAGTACAAGACAAAATGACAGGCGAAGCCTTCCTCTGCTTTCATGGACCTGGCACTTCTGAGTATGAGGCTCGAGTGTCAAGGAGAGAAAGTATTTTACAGAAACGGTTTGCCATAATATAAAACCACTTGCAGCTACACAAAAAGTCAGGCAGCATAGGCGGCAGGACTTCAGCTTGGTCCCTGCACTGCGTAATGTGCATCAAGCACTGACATGGGGAAGGGAATTTGTTTGGGAAGACTAAAAGCATTGATTATGCGTCTGTGCCTTTCAGCCAACCACTCCAGGGTAACCAGTGTTGAAAAGCTCCATTGGTTTACTCAGCAGAAGCACTCAATCAGAATTCTGCTGTTCAGTTGTGCAGCCAGAGGGTATGGCTGTTTGACAAGCTTCAGTCTGACAGCTTTTCATAATACAACTTTCAACACACAGCAAATATTAAATTAATATCAGCCTCCTCAGAACCAGAGCTACAGTTCAAAGGCTTGGCTTACTCTGCAACAAACAGTATTTGGCAACAGCTGTTTGATCATGCTTTTCCCTCACCTTATTCAGACTGAGACAACAGGACTCTAATGGAGCACAGAAGCACTGTAGTAGGGGAGCTGGGGAACAAGAAGGGGAAGCTCAGAAGGCATATTACCATCTTCTGTCCTAGGTCTGGTACCTGCCTGGCGAGTTAGGCATGATGTGCTCTTTGCTGCTTTTGTCTTGGTATCTGCTGGTACTGTGGTTTCAGTACAACTGCTCTTCCAGTGTTCTCAAAGGCAAAGGTACCTACTGGAGTATTCTACAGCAGTCATACATCTACATGGGGAAACATGGCAAACCAAGTACAAAAGCCATCTTCACTCTGCTTTGCAGTGAAAGAAATATCCCTGTGTGGATTCATGATGGGCTCAGAAGGCTGCTTTTTCTGTTCCACTACAACTTAATAACACACTGTACCTATTTACTGAATATTGCTTTTTGAGCTCTATTCAGTGGTCTGGTTTTGAGCATCCATATCTGCACGAACAGCAGCTCTCACAGACACGCTGCACACAGACACTGTTTGAGGGATCTGTAGCACTGTGTGCCTGTGCACTGAAGGCAGAGCCATTCCCTGCCTGCTTCTTTATATCAGCAAGTCGAGATGCTTGGCTGAGCCTCATTAGCCAAAATACTGCGCCTTCTGCTTTAAAATGCCCAGAGTTATTTCAGAGCTGCTGAAGCGTGACTGAAGGCAGTGATGAGTGCACACAGGTGTTTCCAAGCCATCCCATGCTTTCTGCCAGTTCACCCAAATCTAATATCCTGCACCACGCAGTGCTGCTATTCGTGGCCTCTCCTCAGATGGGAATGACAGCAGCTGACTTTGCAGTGCTATACCAAGTCTTCCCTAAATGGAAATACCCAGCAGAGTGCAAGGGGTTTTGAGGCCGCTTACTTTATTTAACTCATGAGTTCAAAGCTAATTTCTCCTTGCTTGTTTTCATGAGGAACGCTGAAGCGAAAGTTGCCAGGTACAGACAGGAATAGCTCAGCTGCTTAACAACACATTCTCCTTAACTGAATATCTTCTTTTTTGCACACATTTCCCCATTTGTCAGTTCTGTGCCTTGCCCAGAGAGGCACAGATGGCAGCAGAGGAGCAGAGCGAGCCCTCAGGTTTCAGAGCAAGCAGGAAGACGTGCTGGTAACTGTGCAACACACAGCGGACTGATTTGGAAAGAAGGGATCAGGGTGAGCAATTACTGCGCCAGTTCTGTACTTTATCTTCGGAGAAACGCCAGAGCCCCCTGGCACGGCGCGGCACGGCGCGGCGCTCACCTGACACGCTCTGCCTGCTGGAGTCCGCCTCGCCGTTGGCGGCGTTGGCCGCGCTGGGCGCGCTGTTGTCCACCCCGCCCAGCAGAGGGCGCAAGTGGCTCACCGAGACCTGCTCGATGAAGGACGTCCCGTACTTGCGGAAGTACCACCACTCGAAGATCTGCAACACACACACACGCACGTCAGCGCGCCGCTCGTGACCGCCGGCAAAGCCCGCCCCGCCCCGCCCCGCTCCAGGGTAGCTTCACAAAAGGGGCTTGCGGACGTGAAAAACCTCGGTAACAAATCCCACGGAACGCAATCCTGTATCTTTTAAAGCTTCGTTGTTTGTTTTGAGGTTTTGTCTTATTCCCGACCGCGGCTTAGCACACCAGAAGATGATTCACGTAGCTCCACCTGGAAAATCACAGCCTAAATATGCTGCATTTTCACAGAGGTATTACATCCCTGGATAAGAGCAGATCTTCAGGAAACCACGCAAACCTTTGGAAATGGGGACTGCTTCATACAAACAGGGAAACGGCTTTGTAAAGTCTGCCGGTAGGAGTGCACCTAACGGGCTCTGCAGCTGCACCCCCACCCCCAGCAAAACGTCTGCGTCTCAACAGAAACACAACCCAGTTAGACATGGTGGTTTTGGTCTGTGGAGAAGGCAAAAGGGCTGTGCGAACACACAGAGGTCATTTGGAAAGCTAAACAGATGCTCACAGAGAAATCAGAACATAAACGCATCCAGATCTTGGTGAACTCTGCATTCCAGGCAAATCGACAAAAGCCCCACAGCCTGTGTTGTCACCGTACTCGTTCCCTAGGATAAACCTGTAGGAGCACCACGGTGGGAACCTTGTGAGCCGGGGGCAGAACTGTTAGGGAATCTCACGGTCCCTGCTTTGCCCTGAACACTTCTCAGGCACCCATCACTGCGCTGCCTGCCTTTCTCCAGATGCTAGAGGTGGCAGCTGGGGAGGCGGTAAAGGAGAACCTTTGGTTTTAGTTGCTCTAGTGCCCTTACTAACACTGCCTAAGGGGTTTAGAATTTAAATCTTGTGATCAAAGAGAACTTCATAGCCTAAGCAGCCAACACATACCCAATCATCAAAGAAAGACTGTGCCAGAAGATACAGTAACAGCTCAGCTGTGAATACGTGTTTTTGTTTTGTCTTTGGAAACTTTGAAGCTTGAACACAAGTCAAGCCACAGCTGTACATGTCCAAATCAAAAATAATAGTTTCGTACAGAGACACAGGACACCAAGTAAGAGGATCACAAAATAACAAAATCTGTAACAAAATCACGGGCCAAAGTACAGCTGCCCAAGCAGCTACTCTCAACTATTCAGCTATAGACTGTGTCAACAGAGCTTCATCCTTTGAGATCTGCCTTTAAAAAAAATAATAAAAAACCATAATGTACTAAATTCCTTTACATTATTATTATTACCATTATCATCATTATTGTTATTTCGATCCTAATCAGCTTTTACATAAAAAGTCAACAAAACCTGGAGAGAGTGATTTTAACCCCATTTACACTGCAAAAATGTATACAAGTCGGGAAACTGTCACACTGAATTTCAATGAAACCAGGATACAACAGAAAGAATGTATGTATGAAGGTGACTGCTACAGTGCAGCTGAGTGACTGAAACTTGTCAAAGCTGCTGTAGTTGCAAGTTTCTCCCTAGTCTTAAAAATATATTAATTATGCTTAAAAAAGGGAATCATTGTTGAGTGAATCTAGAGCTAGGGAATGTCAACTAGATCTCAGTGCATATTGTCCCTCAGGAAATGAAGCCATAAAGCATCATCACAATAAGTCTTTGCTTGGAGTAATTTGTTCAGGGTATATGAGAGGATAATCTGTAATTTGATGTTGAAGTCAAAACAATAAATTGCACAGAATCTTCTCACCTTTCTTAGTGTCAGCAGTTTTGAAACCTGACTTCTACAAATCAAATTTGATTTCTAGCTATACCAGCCAGTTTAAAAGCAATGCGAATCCAACAAGCTGCTGACAGACAGATGAGAGATCATCTGGCATAATAATAGCTAACTACAAGGATTACTTATCCACAGAAAGAGATCTGGATCAGAGAGGAAAGTGGGGAGAAAAACTGCCTCTGAAAGCAAAGGTGGTCCCTTCAGCAAAAGGTACTGGTGGTGAAAGGTGCCCCTGCCCATGGCAGGGCCTTGGAACTAGATGACCTTTAAAGTCCCTTTGAACCAAACTCTTTTGTGATTCCATCATACATTTCTCTCATATACATACATATACCTTCAAATCAGAACAGGGTCAAATATCTCTGGACTCCCAAGGGGTCTTTGAAGCCTTCACAAAGGCCAAGTTAAAATCTTGTTCTGAGCATTTCCAGGTTTGTGTGTTTAGAAATCCAAATCTAGAGTTTGTTTTTGATTCTGGTAGAGATCATACCTAATGTAAGAATATTTGATCTTGGAAAGCTGTAATGATTTCTAGAAGTGCATGGCTATGAAAAAACAGCTGGTAGTTAACAGAGATATTTAAGTAAAATAGGAATTGGCTAATCACTCATAAGTCTCAATGCATTTTAGATACTTATTATGGACTTTTTTTTGCCTTTGCTTCTCTATGCAAGTACTTTTTTCTCCCTGCACTACGAAAAAAACCTATTCTCTTTCATATCTCTGCTCTCACATGGAGGCAATCCCAGATTGCTTTATCTCTCTGTGTAACAACAAACATATTCTGCATCACTTGGCTTATCAGATCTTCCTGCCTCATTTTTCAGACCAGATACTCCACCAGAAATGCATCAATTCGCAAGGGATGTTTTTGATGGCTGTTCTCACTGGACTAAATAGCGATGTCTATCAGTGATATGAATTATGCTTTCCTGTTTATCATATCCAAGACAGGAGTCCTCTCTTATACAGCAAATACTCTCTGTAGTCCTCACCCAGAGTGTGTACTGAGTCTTCAACCAAAACAGTAGGAAGTTCCCTTGCAGGCAACTTCCACAGCTCAGAGTTCTCATTCAGACTTCTAATTAGGCATCTATGTCTCCGAGGAGTAAGGGCTGGAATACTCTTGTAATCTGAGGGCTGGTAACAACCAATCTAATGGATCTAACTGAGGCTTACTCCCTCGAGGAATAGGATAATGATAGCAGAAGATTCAATGGTGAAGCCTCTCAGATAAAAAAGATGGGAGAGCAGCACATGCTTGACTGGCTCAGTCATCCAAGCTGCTTTTTAGCACACTGCCCAGACTGTGCCAACTCTCCCAGACAATGACTGGGCATGTTTTAGGGATATCACAGCCCAGGGGCTGTTTCCAGTAGACAGTAAAGGAAAGATCCCTGTTTTGGTAGGCAAGAGTGTTCATCCATATGGATGTGACTATACAATGCTCTTGGACAAAGAAAGCCTCTTGGCTGTTTATTTAAATTCTGTTTATTGAGCTGCTAGGGATAGCCAGTTGACACACACAGATCCTACAGTCCTATCCAACCTGATTCTAAGAAAAAATTTGCCTCTGACCATGCCCTTAGTGTCCTCAATGGCAGTTTTGAAGGCAATGCAGCCCTATTCCTTCTGGATGAAATTCATCAGTTGAGCATCTTCTTAGCCTCTGCTGCTGGTTCTGGGATTCCTTAAATCAAAGAGTAGATACATACATTGCTAACAACCAGCTTATTCAAAATACCTCTGTACTTAAATTTTACCCACCTCTGGAAATATATGGCCTATGTGTAATATTTCTCTCAGCACTGGGTAGGCTCCACTTACTTGTCTGTAGACTGAGGTACAGACTGTACTCCTACAGACTTTTCCTTTCTCATCTGCTGGCAAACACTTTCAGTTTCTTAGGCACTCTCTCCCATGGACAAATTTGCCCTTCTTGACCTGTCAGCATCCACTGAGCAAGTCAGAAACTTAGAACAACTACCACGTGCCAGTTTTCAACTGCCAAAGACTGTCCTTGTACAATTGTCAGACTTTCAGGAATTACTGGGAATGCCCAGAACTCAGTCACCTCTGCCTCTCTGCAGCAGACTACACAAAGGTAATGAAACAAGCAGAAGAATGTTTAATATCTAAAATATATATATATATATAAAAGACAGGTTCTTTCTGCGTAATTTAGGTCCTCTTTGAGACATCCTTCACTAGCACACCTGCGATAGGGACTCACATAGACTGTGCCTGCACTTGGGCTGCAGCAGACAGCCCAGCTGCTCAAGACTAGGTAGTATAGCCTCAGCATCATGCTCTACCCGTGTTGACTGCCTTGCTAATTCTTATCTCCAAAAAACCTGGTATTTGTTGAGTTTATTGCAGAATGTTTCTCACTGTGTGGCAGAAAAAGGTTATTTACCCCTGGAGTAGAAAAACAAAGCATTCTTGGTTGACATTCAAGACTGAGATTCATTGCTGCTGTGATTCGTCAGAACTGAGACTCTATCAGTTTGCAATGCAAGTGCCACCATTATTTTGCTACACAGCTTTCACCCCGGTGCCAACATGTTAGATATGCAGCCTTCCTGGGAAACCTCAGTGGCATGCAGAAACACAGTGCCAGCTTGCAGCATTTGCTGGACAACAGTTGTGTTTCATGCTGCCCTACCTGTGAAAAACTTCAGCCTTTCTTAAGACACCAGCTATAATACAGCAATGTTGTATTCTGTGAGTCAGAATTAGTTTTTACTGATTTGGAAGTAACTGTGGTGGAATCAAGTTTCTAATGCAATATTTTAAACTGCAGCTTGGGACCTAATTTGATTTCTATTTTTAACATCTAAAACAGTGCAGGGATGAATTAAATATCTGCTAAGTTGTTCATTTTAAGCTATGTGCTCTAAAGTAATTATTATGGAAGAGAGTTGAAATAGAAAAGACTTCTGTGCTATTTTTCTGTGCTATCCAGAAAAGTTAAGAGATCTTAAATTCTTGCACCATATCACTTTGCTTACAGTTAGGCCAGATTTTTACCTAAACAATGAAAACAAAGTAAGAAACAAAATAAGACAGAAGTGTTTTGCAAAGGAGTCACGTAGCATGCAATTCCCCAAACTGAACTCTGTAGAGTCATTGTTTCATGATCCAAACATGGAATAGGAAAAGCATTCACTTTCCCATCAGTTGCCACACTTCTGAAATGATGGAATTTTCCATCATTTCAGAACCTGCAGAGCTGTGATTTCTCTTTCTGATTAGGAACTGTAGCCAACCAATAATGGAAAGAAATCAGCCAGCCCATATGGTGGAAAATTCCAAGGAATATTAGAACATGTAGTCTGACAGATACCCTAGCAATGTAGATTTGTGAAGAGAATGTTTATTTTACGAAGGGTTTCATTTTATACTATCAGCAGGACTACGAATCTTTAGAACTGCAGATGCTGCGTTGTGTGACAGATAAGTGGGTGGTGGCACTGTGGGCAATTCAGTCTGTTACAGGGCCATTGGTAAACAGCAAGATTATGAAGAAGTAATAAATCTGAAGCATAACTGGGCTAGTGACTAGCTAGCACTACCATTCCAGCATCTACCCAGCTGTCCTTCCTGATGCCCGGGCTATTCAAGTTGCAGTCTGTTTTCTTCTTTCCATGACCATCTCAGTTGAGTTCTGTTTCCAGCACTGAATTTACAGACCATACATTCCCCTCAGCACAGACACTGGTCCCTACAGTCTGATTACTGGCTGTCAGCTTCCTGGCCTGTTTATCTTTTGCACGTACAGGATGGTGGCATATAAGCATCAGACAAAAACTGACAGCAGTAGCAAAGCCCTATGAAAAAGGCTTTCAGCACAGAACAGGCTTTTAGTTTTCTTTGTCTTTGTCTACACGTCTATCACTTCACTGCTCCTTTAATTTACTCATAAAGAACTTTGTCATGCACCACTTACTGAATTTTTCTGGCTAGGGATCACTCAATTTCATCTCTTCTATAGATGCCCTTTTCCCCCTTCATTGTATCATCACTACATCCTACCCGTTTCTTGTACTTTCCATCAAAGTATCGCACTTAGAAATTTCTTGCTCACAAGTCTCTTACTGAGCTCCTTCTTCAGAGGTTGCCTTCACAACCACAGCACAAAGTGTACTACACCTGTAATCATGCTATTCTCAGGGAATTTAGTTACAGAGAATTTAGTCTTTCTCTAGGGTCTTAGCTCCTGTTTGATTCTTTATCTCCACAGACACAGGCTCTTTTTTTCTTGCTGACTCCTCCAGCTGTCTTCACCATCCAACAGCAAGTACGAAATTGTGCCTGTGGAACCCACGTATTTCCCTCATTCCTCAGCATCTCGTTGGTGGGACCTGGCCTCTTGAATCCTTCTTTCTTCTGGGTGAGATTACTGAGATTACTGAATTTTACATTCAGTATCCTCTTGCTGTGCATATGAATAAATGAACTGCACTGAACAGAACCCAAGTCTTATAGGCCTGCCTCCTGAGCTTCAGTGTTCACATTCTGAACCAACTGATGTCTCCAGAGCTCTGTCCTGTGCTTTGGGGTTCAATCCATATAATCTCGATGAATGCCCAAGGTACAAACATTAAGTAATTGCCTTCTGCTACAAATAAGTCCCAGAGCAAGGCAGAGCAGCAGTGCACCTGATGCTTTATACCTGAAATCATCTAAGTGATGAGTCTCATTGGCATTTAGGAATCAAGGATGGCATTTCTCTGTCTACATCTACAATAAATAACGTGGAAGTAAGTGAGAAATCCTTTGAGGTCAGCAGATACACAGTGATGCTAACCAGCTCCTGGTGATGTTTCTCTTTTTCCATTTACCACCACGGTAACGAAACACCTAAAACTGGCCTTCTGGTCTTACAATTAAGAGCCTAGTTTGGTATGGGGAGAGAAGGTCTACAGCTTTCATCCAGCAGTTTTTAAAAGCATGCACTTGGTTTTAGACACAGGACCTAAGGCTGATAGAACAAAGTAAAATAAAGCAAAGATAACACTCCCTTCTGTCAGTTAAAAGGCAGCACTCAGTATCCAGGCCCAATATAAGGACAATATCCTAAGTACACCTTAGGGATTGTTAAGATTATTTTTAATTTCAGTTTGTTTCTCTGAAAATACTGAGCAAAATCCAGAGCAAATGCTTTGTTTTGTACTCCTGTTCTATGATGGCATAATGATTTGTTCCATTATATCAATATGTGTGCTGAAGCCCTCAGGTATTATATTCTGGAGAAGGTTTTTTTTAAGGGGTTTGAAAACATTCATTAGACCTTTAAACAAATAGGCAGACATAAATTGAAAAAGATTATAATAGTAAAGATCTAAAATAATCATCCCTTTGAATTTCTGCCCTAAAAGTAGGTTCATTGCTACCATTCTGTTTGCTTTTCCTCTAGTAAATCCTGCTTTAGCTTTCTAAAAGGAGCAGGCTAAGCTGAGAGAGATGGTGCCTCTCCCATTCCTCTTATCACCACTCTCTTTATTTCTGTAGTACCTGTCAACAAAAAGGCTTACTGCATAAGCACTTGTTCTGATTTATTATAGGGTTGTTTGTTAGTGGGACACAGTGTCCTTCAAGCTTTTTTTTCTTTTAAGGCATACTGTGATTAAGTATTTTCCCCTTTTATTTTCCCCACAGAAATAGTGCTAAATGTATGCACTGCAGAAATGTTAGATTAGAAAAAAAATATGGCACCCATTAAAGGTCTAAAAAAAAAAAAATAATGACACCCACAAAGTCTAACATCCCATTCTGGATAATAAAATACATTGATAAAGTAGTATTAATATATCCAGTACTTACCAAAATAAGTCCCGAGATTAATGAGGAAGTGCCCGTCAGGGCAACATAGAACTTGGGGGTTAACGTGTTCAAAAACATACTCACTGAAAAAGAAAAAGAGAGGAAACCATGAGTACAAGAGCAGGACATGCTCTCCTTTTGTGTCTCCTCTTCCTCCCAGCTGTTCTCCCACTCCAATTAAGTTATGAGTTTAATTCTGACAAAAAGGTTTAAAGAACATCCTGTTTCATCTGCCCAACACGGCAAACATTAGACTGAACATTAGACTGCCACATGCCGAGTTTTCTTTTCACAGCAGAGTCAATCAGAAGGCAGTGTGAAACAGTTGCACACACAGATGGGTCTTTGCCATCCCTGTCAGCTTTCCACTGCCACTGACTGCAGGATTCCCCACGATGCATGGAAGAGATCCATGCCAGGGTTGGCGTCAGTGTGCTGCCTTCAACCTTGTTTCAACACCCTGCATGATCCTGGTGAAACCACCAAGACAGATTTTTTAAAACCTCTTACTTTTCATTGCCTCCATTTGCTTTCATTATCTTGCTTGGAAAATAGGAGATAACAGCATTTCCCTAACCCATTCCTCTGTATTAATATTTGTGGACCACTCAAATGGTACAGCAATAGCGAATAAGTGCATAAAACAGGTTATGAAAAGACCCAGCAGATCTTTTGATACCATTATGAAAAAAACCACCAGCACCACCACCAAAACTAACAAACAAAAGCAATCGACAAACAAACCAACCCAGGATAACTATACAGATAATCTGAAATCCAAAGCAGAAGCAAAGCCCAACGAGCTGCAAGGAATAACAAATCCATTTGTACGCGTTCCCAGAAATTCAAGCAACTTTTTAAGTCATTTTGGAAGCTGCTGAGAGAATCATCAGGTAGTCTTGCTCAGCCCCTCATGGAAAATCCCGATGGGTTTAAGAAAATAACATAATCTTTTATTAGTTTTAGGATACTCTTACAGCTGCTAGAGAGCATTAGAGTTCTTTTGCTAAATCCCAGATGTATTAAGAAAACTTTTCAACTACCCATCAGTTCATCGCTCCCATCTTCTATGAATGAAAGTGCTGTCCATTAAACTACATAGGAGGTTAGAGCATCATCTGTGAAAAACCTCACTCAGTCTTACCCTTAACCAATCCTGAAGTACTTCTCAGATATTCACATGTGTACATTCATATATACATATTTGTATGCGTATGTGTGTGTGTGCAGGCAAAATACCCTTGCATCTGTGACTGAGGAGAGAACAAACAACAGTAAGCAGGCAAGTTTAAAGGCTTCGAGCAGATTACTGAACAGGCATTTAAAAATGATGATGACAGAGTTGGATATGTGGGCGGGAGGCCCCCAGCTCATTCTGTTCCCTTCAGAAATGACACTTGCTGAAATCAATGAAAACGGAGCCAAAAAATGAGGAGAAGACAGCAACAGCATGATACAAATCATCAAACATACAATTAATTTTCCATGACCAGTAAAATAGAAAATTGTTTTCTAAAAGTGGTTGAAACCCTGCAAATCAGCTGCTTTGCCTGGATTTCAGCTATTTACTGGTTTTAGGTTTTTTTTTTTTTTTCCTTTTCCTTGAAGATGCCATAAATTATTAAAATGTATCACATTGTGCTTCACTGGAATAGCACTAAGCACACACCAAAGGTCTAGTCTGTGGGTTTTAATTCCATCTAGCTTTTCTTTCACAGATGAGAATGGTGCTACATTGTTGGCTGGAGTAGATCTGCACAAGGTTCCCATTCTTAACATGTGCCATGCAGCTACACCGATTTATACCAGCTCTGGCTCAACAGTTGGGATTTTCATACATCTCGTGGCTTTTTTTCCTGTTCCCACTTATTATTTTTTTTAAGGCCTAATACAAATCGGCTTTGAAATAGCAGTCCCTGCCTATCCCAGTCCCAACATCCATGAAGAAAGAGGAAGAGAAACACCAAAATAGCTTCAGCATCTACAAATGACCCACGTGTCCTTTGGAAGAAACATTGCTCATTCTGGAGCGCAAATGTAAAGCAGAGACATAGTCAGTGTCCCCAGGGATATTTCAGACTGCCAGTGAAATTGTTTCTTCTGCTTAAGTCAAGACATTCCCAGGAGACAGTGCCCTGTGAGGAGCATGGCTGTGCATACCCTGCATTATGTGGAGAGCTGAGCAGCAGGAGTCCTTACAGAGCGGATTTCACTTCTGTTCCTATCCCATAGGCTCGTGGAATACTGGAATATTTCCAGTTAAACTGGAAAGAGTACCTTGGAAGAAAATTGATTTCCAAGAGTATTAAATACAAAACCCTCAAAAATTTACCAAAGCTGTGAAGCCACCTACATCTGTCATGTTACAGAAGATTCCACAAAGGTAGCAATGAATACAGATATTGGATATTTGCCATAAGTTTCTATCACCTCTTTCACTAAGAAATGTTGCAGAGAGAATAAAATAGCTTAAGCAGTGACAGCATACTCACTTATCATTACCAACTGTCATCAATAAAAACCACTTTGAGAAATGCATCCACATTTGGAAAAGCCTTCCCCACAAATGAAACTCCAAGGTGCTCATCAGTAGAGCGAAGTGACTAGAATGCTGGTAGTTTTTGTCTGTCACCACATCTGCTGCAAGCGATTTATACTGATTTATAGACATCAATCAGATCTGAATGGAGATAGGATTTTATTTATCTTTTGCTTGCACCAGTACTGCTGCTTTACTTCGCTTACTGCACAGGGGCATCCATTCACACTGCTGCAGTTGCTCCCTTTTACAGCTTAATTCTGGGAGCTGGCAAGGTGAGCAGGTGCAAACTGGATGCTCTCAGACTGCACAGACCAGACTCCCTGCTCACCAGACCAGCTCTGTTCATTTGCTACAGTTACACGCAATTACAAGAGCTTCCTATCTTCCCTGTATCTCTAATCCTTTTACTGTTCTTCCCACTGATTAATAAAAGAATCTTCTGTTCCATTACGGAAACTAACAACTTCTGCCAATTATTAACCACCTTCCCCATTCCTCTGCCTCTGTAAATACTATTAACCAAAGCAAACACTTTCTAATATAAAACACATTTCCAAAACAGTAAAACTAAGCACTGGAGGATTTGTGGTCAGACTTTTTTAATGCTGAAGTCAGTGAGAATCTAGTCATCATTTTAACGGAAATATATCAAGTTCTAGTTATTGTAATGTTAATCACTGAAGTAAAAATCAATTCACTTTTGAGGTTATCTTATGTGCATCTTTATTAAAAAAAGAGAAAAAGAATATTTTTTCATATACAGTATTCTGACACTGAAGAAATCACTATCTGTGTTAGCTACCTAATTTCTACATCCCTTCCTGCACCTACATTGGACCCAGACTTCCTCCAATGTGTTGCTGTAAACTGGATACCATCAGATAATGCTAAATGTCCATCTATCTAAATTTGCATAGCAGGTTTTTTTTATCTCTATTTCCCTGTAATGAAATAGCAGGAATGAAGAGCCTGAGAATTTTCTGAGAAGCAAGAGCTGAAATGATGACTGCAGAACAAAGGAGCCAAGGAGAACACCACAGGTGGCTGTCTTTCCTTAGGAATTCGTAACATGCATCCTATGGCCAATTGTTTGTGTCCAGGAAGGGAAGATGGCACACTTACTCAGCACGGATTAACAGCTTTCATCTGCACCTTGGTAGCATCAAAAAGGCATATAACTAATATACAGAAAGAAAACCTTGCCTATATTTAACAAACGCCTGATGTGCCTTCACTGTCAACTCATTCGAATCTATGGTTAAATCCCAATTTCTCCTGGCTTTTGATGATGAATGATTTATTTTAGGTGTGTTAGTGGAGATGATGGAATACAGTAGGGCCTGTGTTTCTGTAAAGAAAACCAGCATGACCTATAAACACTGTCTAAACAAACTAAGCATGCCTGCTCATGAGAGGCTCCTGGCCATAAAAATAAGCCCCCTGCCTTTCTTCCCATCTCTATTGCTTTCATTTTAATCATGCTTGACTCATTCAGAATAAGGCACTCTTTACATTTCCAGCATTGCCTGCATGACACTGACAAATCATTCCATCCTACTGTATAACATCTAGGGAAGGATTATTATGTCATTGTTAACTGTGCACGCTCACACAGATGAATTTAGACCCAATTCAATTCCTGGCAGGCAGGCTAATAAAGCACTCAAGCAGCAGGCTGTTGAGGCTGATAAAAGAGGAGACTGAAATGTTCTTAAAGCTGATGCCATCTCCTTAGGGGTGGGAGCATTGCAAACTACTGGCTATTCCCAGAAGGACAAAAAATGGCAATGCTGTTACCTACTTCTGTACTTGAAACCAGTTTGTTTGCCCTGAAGAGTGCTAATAAACAATTAATAGCAGTGTTACGACAAATCATACACACAAACAGCCACAGCAAAGAAAAGACTTCATCATTCGTTGTACTTAAGAGGAAAAATCATCACCTAGACAGAATGTTATATTCTGAAAGAGTTAAATAAACACCAATGACTTGGAAGAAATAAGAAGATGCACTGTAGACTCAGAATTAAAGATCAAGCCGAAAAAAAATCCAAATATATTGAAATATGCATGAAATCACAGCTCTTTTTGTGCTGGAATCTCCATGCTCTTTGGTGAGACACAGTTTCTCAGTACAGTAGCAACGTTTATGAGCACGAATAATCAGGAGAAACAGACAAGCTTACAGTCACAGAGCCCTTCTTGTGCACTGCTGTCCTTACGTCATCACGGCTACAATTTCCACATCACTAAGAAATTTCACTGTCTCCCCCTCCACAGAATTTGCTTAGTATGCAAAACAATGAGAATTCCTAATGCCAGTGCCAGGAGCCCAACCCCTGCAGGATGACAAGCTAAGAAGATGCTGTTGTTGAGGGCCTCGGGCACTTCAGCTCAGCTGCTTTTCACTACAGCAATCCCCTCCAGCTGCCGTTCATGGTGGCCAGCTTATTTCACAGTGGCCCCATGTGGATTGATGGAGTCCCCAGTCCAGAGCTGTCACAGCAGAGCAGAGCTGATCCGAGTGTTAGTAAAGAGTGACATAAAGTTCAGTTATTTTAATGCCTGTATAAAATCCTCCTCTCTGAGTAGGAAACACTGCATGCTCTGCACTAACTGAACTATTTATACACAACCTTTTTGAAGGCTCAAGCTGAATCTCAGAAGAATTTCGGCAATATGGGAAACCATGCTAAGGTCATGCAGAATTATGCATTCCATACTGTGAAGGCCTCCAGTTCAACACAGCTACAAACCACATCAGATTTAAAGTTAGCATGGGATACTGCCTTAAGAACAAAATTACAAAAACAACCCCTAACCTAAAACCACAGACAAGAAAAACCAAACAAAACCTTTACCATTTATCAGGGTTTTCCCTGGGAAAGCTACAAAGATTGCATTTTTTTTTTTTTCCCCACTTCTTCAGACTGAAGAAAGTGAACATTCAAAAGTTTAAGAATCTGGTGAATTGAGGACTATTTTTACTTGAGTTGTCATAAATTCTATGCAACTTCCTTCTTTAAGACCTTTTTTGTCAGTCTGTTTTCAAATCTTGACAACTTTTGACACTCAGAAACAGACATGTGGCCATTCCAGGCAGGAACAATCCGTACCTCTGTGCTGTGCACGAGGAAATCCAGATGCCACTCACTTTGTTCAACCACCCACACTTATCCTAAAGGCACGAGGCTGAACAGGAGTCACATTCAGACATCTGGAGCCTCATCTCATGGCCAGTGATCTATTGCTCTGGGAATGCTGGACCACAGCCCAGGTGAGAATAAATGGTGCTTTGCCAAAAGGTATCTATTTCTTCAGATAACTAATGGACTCTGAATAGCGTGTAGAAAGAAGGGTAGAAGAGTCAAGAACAGCAAAAGCAAAAAACGCACATGAGAAATTACAGATGTAACACGAGTGTAAACAAAAGCTATTTCTGGTTTGTGATCAGAGGTATCTTTCACTGGAGAGAAACCACGCTGTCAATGCTAACAGCTTTGGTCATTTTGGGAAGCAGTACTGTCAACAAGTTATTCTACAGTATTAAATATACCCAGAGCCTTGTCACAAGTTTGCTGTCACCATTCATGTATCTTCCCAGAATTTCCTACTCCCATGGAGGAGCGGCAGCAATCGCTGCTCGGCCACAGCCCAGAGCCCAGCACATCACAGTACATCAGTGCCACAGGGTGCATCAGTGCTTCAGCAGCTGCTAATAATAGCTGATGCACTTTCCCCCAGGCTACGCACAGATACAGGACCCAATATACCGACCCCCCAAAACCATTCTCTGGTATGAATTTAAATACTAAAATCAACATAGGATAGGCAGGCTCCATCACAGTACTTTGCTGTTCCATTTGTCTAAGACCATGACCTTTTTACCTTTGGGAAGAACAAAGTACAAAGAAAAAAAGATCAACTTTCCTTCACAGAAGCAGCCACTATCATGCAAAGTAGCTGCTACATTTGCTTTCCCTGCCAAAGGATGGGGGACATTTCCTCCTGCATTCACAATGCAGTGGTGACATGAGGTAATTACACAGCTCCAGTTAATTGTAGAGCACGGTGACTGAATACCAAGATTTGCTAATTATTGGCAGCAAAAAACTCTGTTTAAAAAAACTGCCACCACCAATCAACCCCAGCATTTACATTTAAGTAAAAGAAAAATGAGGGAGAAAACATTTCCTGGGACCTTACAGCCCCCATCTGCCAGAGATTAAACTGTGCCATGCATTTCTTTATGGCCAGCACAGTGCCCTGCTGCTAAAAGCAAGCTCCTGCTACTAATAATGCAGTAATTTGGGGGAAGAACTGGACCAATTAAGAATGAAACACGAAGGATGAAGAATGATACGTTGTGCAAAAGTACTGATATTTGGATTTTTAGAGATGTGTGCATGTAACATCTGGTTGTTCATCGGTTCTTAGCTAAATTCTCTTGCAACATTTTCAACCTTTATTCTTCTAAAATCAGTTTGCTTGTCAGCTGATCTGAAACACTGCCAACGCCTCCCCTGCATATTTTAACATTTCAAAAAGCATAAGAGTCCTGGTCCTAATTGCTATGTAAGTGATGTACTGCATGTGGAAGAATGCTCTCAGATTTGTGAAGGGGTATTTCCTTCACCACACAATGTTACACGGTGTCTTTGGCTCTGCACACCTCCATGGGCAGCTCGTGGTGTTCCACTCCAACCACAAAGTATTCAAACAAATTCACACTGTACTTCAAAATTTCTCTAGACATCAACTACCACTGGTATAACAGAAATGATATGGTTATATCCAGTTTTTGTTTGTGAAGTCAGACTTACCTGTTTACCTTAACTGTCCCTCCTTCTGAGGCGTTACACAGATCTATGTTCTTTAGCCTCTCAAAGCTGTATTGAAATAAAAGCCAATTAACTAAACCTCATTAACTAGAGTCATTTAAGACAATTAATGGATTAGCACAGTTCTCTCACAGCCTAAGTTTTGTCCTCTCCTGTAGCAACGCCCAGGGAAGAACCAGCTGCATTGGCTCTTTGCTTTTGGTTCATTAGCTGCCTAAGAACACCCTTAACTAAAAGTTTGCCACAGTGACTAATTTAAATGCTGTAGATAACAAAGGCTAATCCACTCTGGAGAGACAAATCGTGCCAAGAGTTTTCACATCCAGCTACTGGCCTTCCACAAAAGCCAAAATAACCCCTGGCTTCCTATTATTCAGGGACTCTCAGAGTAGGTGTTCCCATGCTAAAAGGAGAGGCACATGAACAGAACACCTGCTGCCCTGCAGCCTCCTTTTGTACCGGGCAGAATTCTATATGAGCACTAACCCTACAGACACAGCAGTGTGCATCTTCCACCCTGACTTGTGTGTTGCATCCATATGCACACAAAGATGAGGATCATCATCTTTTATGCATTAAAACACTGTCTAGGAAAAGAAAAAAAAAATCAGAAAGCATGGTTGTAATGTACATGTAATGAATCTTTCAGACACGTTTTTTCATTGTTTGTTTGTTTTAAATTCTGGAGAAATGTTCTGTTCCTGACATCACTATCCTAACCTTGACAGCTTCCATATAGAGCACATCTATTTTAAGAGTCTCTAAGATTCCGATCTCTTTGCACACAAGAAGTAGCAAGGTGCTTCTTGGAACAGAGGTAACTGGAAAACAATGTTGTAATTAGAGGCAGTAACTTCATGAAAATTCCCCAGAGATCCACAACAGCTAATATTTTGTCACTGAAAACTGATCTTCGCTTCCTACTTACAAAATCAATAGGGCATTCGTGCCATTTGTCTCTAACCTAGCTATTTTAAATTTCCACATGCAGCAGGGATTTGTTTCCAATAACTGATGGCATGGGTAGTGTAGCACAAAAAGAAAATTTTCAAGCAATTCATTATGGTTCTGTATCTGATAATCAATTTTCCCTTTCAGAGCACTCTTCAAGCTGAGTGACTCACATAATACTCATACCAAACGGAAGAGAAGACAAGTTCAGTAGACAATTTGGAGCTCTTTGCCTCACTTTTGGGGATTTTCACAAAAAGCACAGCACCGAGTTTGACAAGTGCAGTACGATTTCCATCGTCTAGCAGTCTCTTGGGACACCCAAAACTTATTAAAATATAAAAGGCTCTGGCAACTCTGTAGATAAAACTGAAATCTGCATTCAGGTGCCAGGTGATGCGGAGACCAACTTTGGTGGTGAATTTTGTATAATAAAAATTTTCGACAGAATGAGCTCCAGAGAAACAACTTCCAGACAAAACCACAGGAAATGGATGGTGAGGGCTCACATGGGCTGCAGGGAAGCAGAGTGCTAAGTTAGACCTTTAAAACACTATCAGCTGGTGGCCAGGAGATCCTCTGTCCCTGCAGACAGCAAGTCTTTCTCAAATGCTGCTTCCTCCAGAGGTCTGGGACATCAGACAGAACTGTTTTGGCCATGGTTTTAAAGCTTGCTTCATTTTCTGAGAGACAAATAAAACAGTGCTTAGATTATGTCATTAGCATGAACAATAAAGATGTGACTTGATTTAGCCTTTGATGAAATCCCAGGAGTAAAGGCAGCTCAATACACCCACAGTTTTTCTTACTGAATATCTGATGGTTTTAATTCCAGAAAGTAGCTGTGGATGACTTGGCTAAAAATAACTGTCAAATTGTGTTCCACACAATAGTGTCTTCTTTTCCTTTCTTCTCATTAGAAGCATGAGATCTGCTCAGAGGTGGGCCTCTTCCCACACACGGAGGGGACACAGAAGGAGCAAGGCTGCTAAAGCACCCTGCAGGCACTGGGCATGCATCAGGAGTCCAGCACACTGATCCCAGCCCTCCACTGATCCACAGCTTCTTCCTCCAATTTCATTTCCTGTTATGTTGGTGTGGAGACAGAAGTGAAAAAGGCACGACTGAATTAGCTCAACAAGGTGTGTTTGATAAATGAGATGTTTGATAAATAAAAACAGCACAGGGCTTCCTATACACTGTGTTCTCAGCTCTGCAGTTGTCCCAGTCAGATGCTGCACTGGCTCTAAATTGCAAATTCAAAGCCTATGTGAAACATTCAGCAGTGTCTGGAAGCTCCCACGTTTAGCTACAGCCTGCAACCTGTGAAAACAAATATATTCACCTGTCTGTATTGCCCTGAAGATATCAAGCAGGTGAAGAATGCATCCTCACATATTTTAGAAAATAACTCCAGAAATATTTGGCATGTCATGCCACATCAAACTGCAAGTAACAGTAGATGCCAAGATGCAGAAAGCAGATGAAGCCAAAAGAAGTATTTTTCTTCGTGCTTAGCAGGCTATTTTCTGTTTAGATGCTTTGCTGAAGGGAGAGCACACCTGCAGCATGGTTGGCCATCAATGTTATCTTTCGCTGCGCACACTGGGTCTCATGATGCAGGTCAGGAATTCCCGTGGCTCTGACATGAGTTATGGGAACTCCGAGTTCCTCAAAAATCAGGCCAAGACAGCTCAAATTGAATGCCTGCAACCAGAGAATGGTTTTGGTTGGGCAGGCAGTGAGTCAGAAAGGTGAGAGCTGCTGCGGGATCTCAGCCTGGGGCCTGAGCACAGAGCGAGAGCCCACTGCCTGCCCCCATCGCCAAGCACGGCTGAAGGCTGTGTAACCTGTGACCAATGTGCTCAGTGACCTGGGAAGGCCATGCACAAAAACAGGCAGTGAAAAATGGCTTGGTTTCGTCACAACCACTTTGCTTCTCTTCTGTTCACATTAGTTCATGTAGGACTAGTAACCATGGCCACATTAATCCTCAGACACAGGTGGTTAATTGTGATAATCACTGTATTGGCACTTTTTTCAGCTCTTCTTTAATTTAATATACAAGGATCAGCTTTGAACAATTGACTTTGAAGATAAAACTTGCAATGTTTCTTCCTAATGCAGTAGTAGAAGTTTCTGGAGCTCCCTTTTTCTTGGAGTGGGGAGACTCCAGCAAAAAGATTCAGCAACTGGGGGACTTCCA